TACCATGGGGAACCTTACCAAACGCTTTACTGAAATCCAAATACACCACATCAACCGCTTTACCCTCATCCACCTGTTTGGTCACCTTCTCGAAGAACTCAATAAGGTTTGTGAGGCACGACCTACCCTTCACAAAACCGTGTTGACTATCCCTAATCAAATTATTCCTTTCTAGATGATTATAAGTCCTATCTCTTATAATCCTTTCCAACATTTTACCCACAACCGAAGTAAGGCTCACTGGTCTATTATTACCAGGGTTGTCTCTACTCCCCTTCTTGAACAAGGGGACAACATTTGCTAGTCTCCAGTCTTCTGGCACTATTCCTGAAGACAATGACGACGTAAAGATCAAAGCCAAAGGCTCTGCAATCTCCTCTCTAGCTTCCCAGAGAATCCTAGGATAAATCCCATCCAGCCCAGGGGACTTATCTATTTTCACACCTTCCAGAATTGCTAACACCTCCTCCTTATGAACCTCAATCCCGTCTCGTCTAATAGACTGTATCTCAATATTCTCCTCGACTACATTGTTTTTTTTCCTGTGTGAATACTGACGAAAAATATTCATTTAACACCTCTCCTATCTCTTCGGACTCCACGCACAACTTCCCACTACTGTCCTTGACCGGCCTCAATCTTACTCTAGTCATTCTTTTATTCCTGACATACTTATAGAAAGCTTTAGGGTTTTCCTTGATCCTACCTGCTAAAGACTTCTCATGTCCCCTCCTGGCTCTTCTTAGCTCTCTCTTTAGGTCCTTCCTGGCTAACTTGTAACTCTCAAATTTTCACTTTTAAAAATTCTGCGTTTTTGTAACAAGTCAGTATGCAGTTATAAGCATGTGCTGACACACCTATACATAAGGTATAGATGTGTGTATTGCTACTGAGAAATATTGATTTTTTAACTGGAACACATTTTTTAAAAAAAAATTGAAGTACACTTAAATTATTAATGAATATTCGTCCAAAACTAAAATCCAGCATGTTAAGGCTGAGAAACACCAATGTCTGCAATTTTTTTTGTAAGAGAATAATGCGTTGATCTCGTAACCCAAAGGCACTAACTGTTTAACTGTTTCGGGAAGACTGACAAGTTAAATCAGATCCTTACCGTGAGCATGTTAAGCTATCACTTTGTATGTACATAATGTGATTTACTTTTCTCTTTTAGGTGTTTATTGATTCATTGGAGTACCTGAGTACCAAAGCTGATGGTGATTCGGACAGTATTCAGTGAGTATAGTAATACTTGGACATATTTTCATTTTTTGTTTGCTTTTCATACTTCAGTCAACAATGCATTCTTTATGCAAGTTTACAAATTTGCTATAAGTGAACAACAGAATTGTTCTTCTATCGAAATTAGTTGTGACCATTTCATTTTTAAAATATGCATCAAGATCCTGTTTTCATTTGAAACTTGAGATGCTCCACAGCAGTGCTGCACTTCTGGAGGTCCTTAATTCAAAAAGGATGTTGTACGGGAGCCTTATCTGACGCTTCAAGTGTGTGTCTGTGTGTGTGTGTGTGTGTGTGTGTGTGTGTGTGTGTGTGTATGAAGTCCTTACCATTATTCTAAGGAAAGGGAAGTTCTTCTCTGTTGACTTGGGCATCATTTATCCTTCACCTGTCTGTGTTCTTGTACTGCTGTTTGTGAAAGTTACCGTGCACAGACTGGTGCAATGTTTCCAATTGCCATGTGTGACTGCACCTCAAAGTAATTCATTGGTTGTACAGCACTGCGAGATGACCTGAGATTACGTGCCATGCTATCTATGCAAGTTTCTTCTTTCATACTTTTGAACAATGTTCTTAATTTCTTCATCAAAATACAGCCAAGGACTAAAAATATGTTTAGAAATTTTCAGTGAAAGTTATAGGATCATAATTCGTTGAAGAATCCTGTTTTCAAGCAATTTATCTATTTGAATAAAATCTGAAATGTCTACAAGTTGCTTAATGATTTTTTTCATTCGCATGTTGAGTAATGCATATATTTAGAAAAACAAATAGCCTGTTATAAAATAATGCAACAGAATGTTTTATTTCTTCTGTTGAAAATACCGTCATCAGTCAATTCACCCCTCCCTCTTAAAAATGCAAGTTCATTTCCTTGTTAACTAATGTGTGTTTTCAATCTCTTTCTTCTCCAAAGACTTTGGGTGCATTTTCAGCTTCCAAGTCTGTGCCTGTCTTTTCTACAGTTAATGTTTAAACCCGTCAAATGGTTGTATACCCTCCCACAGCATTCGACCTGTTAAAGCTTTAACACACTTGACACCACCATCATATGTCCAAGGCCTTCTATTATCCTGCTGAGTGGTACAGTCCATTTGATTATGCTTGCATGTATTAATTTGCAGTCAGAGCATCTCCATGAGTAACTCTCCTCCCACACTCACTGTTGCCTTTTGGGATTCATGAAGTATCTAATATTAATCCCCTGCTTTGCATGCTAATGTATGGCAATATCATCCAAAGATATAAGATTATCTTTACATATATGATGATGACATTCAGATACATCTTCCACTCATTTCTGTGGACTCTTTGCTTTCTCTTGTCAGACTGTGTGTATAGCATGCACTTTACACCAGTTAATCATTAGTTCAGCACAATTTCAATGTCAGTCCTCCATTCTTTTGACTGGAATAATTAAAATTAGGGATACTCAGGTGATTTTTGAAAGGTGGTGATGTTAATTCTCTCCATTATTTGTACACAACACTGACTGCAAATTCTGGAATTCTGTTATGTGTGGTTTAACAGGGAAATGCAAAATTTTTGCGATAGTTTTAATTACAAAAGATTACGTGTTTCTGTTCTTTTTAGCCTTTCTAGTCTTTCTGTGGATATTTCATCCCCAGATTTACTTGGAAGCATTCATGAAAGCTTCAGTCCAACTCCTGTAAGTACTGAAATAGTTCACTAGGTTCATTTTATGAGAATGTGCAACTGTTAGCAAATAATATTCATCTTAATTTTTAAAATACTTCAAAAGAATTTGGATCATTCTTGCTTTGGGAATTTTAAAGGATAATCTAAACTGATTTGAATCTGGTGGACAGAGGTATACTGGTGTATTCTTAAGTAAAAGTTCAGCACCCAGAGGTTTTTCCTTCATAGGAAATGCTTCAGAAATTTAGGATTCCTAGCCTACTTCAGATTAGAGTCTGCCAAGTAAATTGCTATTAAAAGATAACCTGTATAATATTGTTTTCTATATTCTGAGAACACTGATCTTATGCGCTTGGACTGTTCCAGTTGAATATAAAGTTGTTAAAACTGTTTTTTTACACTATTGGTTTTGTGCACAAATTTGAGTGAGTAAATATGGCGGAATGTGACAGAGAACTAATTAAACCAATTGGTTATTGGATTAAGTTAAGCATTGTATTTTAGTGTAAGATTTGCTAAGAACTGCAGTATTAGCAGCAGCTCATGTTTTCAAATTGTTGTTAAAGTAGCAACACGAATTATTTTAAAAATTTAAAAAGCATTTCCAAATGATTGCTATTGCTTTATTATTCTTTGTCTACTAATAACAAATAAATTTTCAGTCATATACATGAAAACAAATCTCAAATATTCAGTTACACAGTCATTTCAGTTATGTGTCACAGATTTAATGGTCTGTTGAAATGTGCAAAGCGTGGGAAGATGCATTTGGTGGTGGCATTACACTGGAAATGGTGTACAGTGATGAATACAACAGCAGATAGGTATGGTATAAGATTAGGAACAAGAGGAACCCTGTCGTGGTTTTCGTAGGAATGGAAAGGGGTAAGAGAAGTATCTAGGGAATAGATGAAATTGTCCTTGGCCTCATCAGTCATGGTGAGGGGAATATTCTGTTGAAGAAAGAGAAAGGCTTACCTAAAGTACTGAAATGGAAATTTAGATTGTAAGAACAGATGCAACAGTGAAGAAGAAACTGACAGAATGGAATTGAGTGCTTACTGGAAGCAGGGAGTGAGGAAGTGTAATCACATTAGCTGTCACAGTCAGGGCCTCATGTTATACAAGGCCAGAAATGGTGACTGCGAAGGCAGGTAAGGTGGACTGTGTGAAGATGAAAAAGAGGTGCAAATTGAAAACAAACTTCTGCATTATCCCTGTTTTGGGACAAGTACTATATACTCTTGAGTCTGAGATCATTTAAGTTTTTAAAAATAAACTCTTCATTATAAATGTACAGATGAAGTATTCAAAGCCCTGACACATTTTGTCACTCACTCGCTCACTCACTCACACACTCTCTGTCTCGCCCTCTCTCTCTCCGTCTGTCTCTACACCCCCACCCCCACAATTACCTTTCTTTACTCACTCACTCCCTCCCTCACTTGCCCTCACTTTCTCCATCACTCACATACTGTTTCCCTCCCCCTCTGTCACTCGCACTGTCACATGCTCGCTATCTGAAGCAGCTGCTCATCTACGCACACACGCTCTCAATCTTTCGCATTGTCTTTCTCTCTCTTGTGCCTGCTCTCTGTCTTAGGGAGCCCTGTGTCACTGTGTCTTCTTCACTACATCTCTCTCACTCATTATGTGTGGCCCTGCCCATCTCTCTTGTACCCTCGCTCTCACGCTCGCTCTCGCTCCCTCTCTTTCCCTGCCCCCCCTCTCTCGCTGTCTGCCCTCACCCTTGCCCTCTCTGTCCCTGTCTGTCTCACTCTCTAGACGCTCAAATGTCTGTAATCAGGTGCAGCATGCAAGATTGTTTCTGTAGAATTCTAATAGAACAATAACAACTGACCAACCGTTCTTGATGTTTGTCCTAAGTCGTTCACAGTCATCTTCAGTATCACTAGAAAGTGCAGCCTCTCAGGCTAGTAGTGAATAAACCAGGAAAACAGCCTGAGCTTATGAACCGCAGTAATGTCGTCTTCAGCAGCCCTATTAACTCCTTAATTCTCCACATTAATCCTCCCCGCAGTTCACAATGCTTCCACAATTTGTTATCATCTGTGATTTTGAAGTGTGACCTGTGCACTAATGTCTAGATCATTAACATACATCAGGAAAAGCTGAAGTTCCAGAATTGATGTTAGACAAATTCCTTTCTGCAAACTGAAAGACATCCACTTAACCACTAACTGCTTGAATTTATATTGCAACTTTCCTTTTTGTTCTCTGTGAGCTAAACTTAATATGTCTGTTTTGTGGAACTGATTCAAACATCTTTAGGAAGTCCAGGTAAACCACATTTCCCTCATCTGTTACCTCTTCAGAAAAAATCCCACAAGTTAATTAAACATGATTTTCTTTGATATATTTATGCAGCTGTTCCTGAATTAAATCTCATTTGTCCATGTAACTAGTTCTTTTGTTGTGAATTACTGTTTTTAGAAGTTTCCCCACCACCAAAGTTAAACTGAAGGGCCTGTGGTTGCTGGGTTTATCTTGGCACCTTTTTTGAACAAAGGTGTAATTTTGTAATTCTCTCGTCCTCTGGCACCATAGGTGTAAGGAGAAATTATGGCCAATGCACCCATAATTTCGACTACTTCATTTCCGTCAGTCCCTGTGGATTCATCCAATCCTAGTGCTTTAGCAACTTTAAGTAGAAATTATCTCTTCCTTATCAACTTTAAACCCTCTAGTATCTAAATTGTCTCCTTTTTCAATGTGCCCTGGGAACAACTTCTTTTTGGTAAAAATCATATGCAAAGTATTCATTTAATACCTCAATTATGCTCTCTGTCTCCAGGTGTAAATCTCCTTTTTTATTCTTAATCAGCCTTTCCTGCCCTGTAATCCCCCTTTATTTTTTATATGCCTGCGTAAACTTTGGGATCCCCTTTTATGTAGTTTCTCTTCATGCTTTCTCCTTTTATGATCCCTGATATTATTGCTGGGCGAATCAAATCCCAGGCTGATAGATCTTTTTTTTTGAATTGAGCTGGCCTTTTACATGAAACATAAGCATGCAATGCTGCAGAATTGGTTTTAACAATAAAACATGTTTGTTGTGTGAAAGAAATGAAGATAAAATAGAATTAACCACACTATTTTTATGTAAAGTTAAACATTCAAAGTACATGGTAAAATAAAGGGTAGCATGGTGGCACAGTGGTTAGCACTGCTGCCTCACAATACCAGAGACCCAGGTTTGATTCCAGCCTTAGGTGTGGAGTTTGTACATTCTCCCTGTGTCTGCATGGGATGTTCTTCTGCTGGGTACTCCAGTTTCCTCCCACAGTCCAAAGTGCCCATGTTAGGTGGATTGACAATGCTAAAATTGTCCGTAGTGTCCAGGGATGTGTAGCCTAGATGGATTAGCCATATTAAATGGAGATAGGGTAGGGGACTGGGTCTGGGTGGGATGCTGTTCAGAGGATTAGTGCAAACTCAATGGGACGATAACCTAGTTCTGCTGTGCTGGTATTCTACGAATGCATTCCCATATATCCCAAAAGCACCTTTTTACAGTACTCAAACAACAAAATTCTCTTCTGTGTCATGTTTATTAGGTCTAACGCAACTAATGAATCTGCTAGTCTCTTCATTGAGTCTTCATACAATTGAGCTTAAATATTCTCGGCTTCAAATAATGCCTTAGCATTTTAACCAAACATTTCTTTACCTGGATCTTACAAACTAATCTTATTACACTGTAATAACTTATTCCTTAACAATTCTAAATTGATTTCATTGTCACATGCACTGAGATATAGTGAAATCTGTTGTTTTGCTATACAGGCAGATCATACCATATGAAGTGCATCTCGGTAACAAGGACAGGGTGCAGAATACAGTGTTACAGCTGCAAAGAAGGTGCAGAGAGATAGAGAAAGATCAGAATTAACATTTGAGGGGTCTGTTCAAAAGTCTGATAACAGCAGGGAAGAAGTTGTTATTGAATCTATTCGTACATGTATTCAAACTTCCATATCTTCTGCCCGATGGAAGAGGGTAGAAGAGAATATAACCAGGGTGGGAGAGGTCTTTGATTATGTTGGTTGCTTTCCCAAGGTGACAGAAAGTATAGATGGAGTCACTGGATGGAAGGCTGATTTGGTGGACTGGGCTATGTTCACAACTCTCTGTAGTTTCTTGCGGTCTTGGGAAGAGCAGTTGCCATACCAAACTGTGATGCATCCAGTTAGGATGCTTTCTATGGTGTATCTATAAAAATTGGTAAAAGTCATTGTAGGCATGTTGAATTTTCTTAGCCTCCTGAGGAAATAGAGCCATTGTTGTGCTTTTTTGACTGTCACATCAACGTGGGTGCACAAGGACAGATTGCTGGTGATAATCACTCCCAGGAACTTGAAGCTCTCGACCATTTCCACCTCAGCACCATTGATGCAGATAGGGGCATATCCTGCACTCTGCTTCCTGAAGTCAATTACCAGTTCCGTCATTTTTGCTAATGTTGATGGAGGGATTGTTGTCTTTGCAACATGCCGCTAAACAGTCAATCTCTTTCCTGTATTCTGTTTGAAATCTGACAACAACAAACTTGTAAATGGAGTTGGGGCAGAATTTGGCCACACAGTTGTGAGTGTATAGTAGCGTTCTGAGTACGCAGCCTTGCGGGGCACAGTGTTAGGGATTATAGTGGAAGAGGTGTTGTCACCTATTCTTACTGATTGCGGTTGATGGGTCTGGAAGGCGACGATCCAGTTACAGAGCGGGTGAACCAAGACCTCGGTCTCGGAGTTTAGAGATGAGTTTGTTTGGAATTATGATGAAGGTGGAACTGTAGTCAATAAGTAGGAACTGACGTAGATATTCTTGTTATCCAGATGTTCCATGGAATAGTGTAGGGCCAGGACGATAGCATCTGCTGTGGACCTGTTGTGCCGGAAGGCAAATTGCAAAGGATCAAGGCAGTTTGATAGGCTGGAATTTCTGAGAGTCATGATTAACTTCTCGAAGCATTTCATAATTATGTAGGTCAGAGCTTCTCAACGTGAGTCATTGAGGCACACTGCTTGAGTTTTCTTAGGCGCTGGGATGATGGTGGTCATTTTGAAGCTGGTTGGGCCTTCAGATCGTAGTAAAAAGAGTTTAAAGATATCTGTAAATACTCCCGCCAGCTAGTCTGCACAGGATCTGAGTGCACAACAAGGGACTCCATCCAGGCCGGTCACTTTACTTGGGTTCACCCTAAAGAAGGCCAATCTGACATCTGCAGCAGTGACCATTGGCACAAGTGCATCCAAGGCTGTTGGCATAGATGACATCTTTTCACTAACCTCCTGTTCAAAGCGAGCATGGAATGCACTGAGCTTGTCGGGTAGGGATGTGCTGTTGCCCAAGATTCCATGCAACTTTGCTTTGTCGCCCGTTATATCATGTGAACGATCTTTCTTTAGGAGCCACTATTTTAAACATCCAGTTTCCATCTACATTTCACAAACCTGAAACTATATAAAGCTTACTTCAAGTTATGGGTGCGTCCCCAAACCAAAAAAAAACATCATTCCAGATCCTTCTAACTGAAGCCTGATTCACCAGACTGTTTAGTTTTTTTTACTCCTATAATTCCTCACAATGTAAACAAATTCACATTAGTCCTCTCACAGATTTTATTAAAAAACCATGGCTTCAGAAAGTTAATCATTATATCCCCTTGCTCTCACACAGACCAAATCCTACATGCCATTAGCTCAAAATCCAGACTCTAAAATAAATGATATTAAAATATGTATAAATTTCATAACCTACATTGCACTCTCTGCCCCTCTGATTTGCTCTTTCACCACCCCTCAAAACCTTAACACAATGGATTGATATTTAGTGATGGGCTAGGGGAGATAGAGGAAGTGCTTGAGATCTTGCGTTTTGCATCTGGTAAGTAGAGATCAGTTTGCTGCACAACAGCAAGAACCTTAACCTTGGGTTTGATATAAATGTTCAAGTTAAAATTGAGCAAGCATCAATTTCAGGGGGACATATGTTGGAATGAGTGAGAAGAGCAGAGAAATTGAGAGAGACGATGTCATGCTGGCAGTTCTGACTGATAAGATTGAAATTTTTGATGCTGAGGGAGGGGTCCATTTGGAGTGAAGATGGTAGAGGGATCTGATGCTGAGAAGGTGACTCCTGGCTAAGACTTGGGCACGGAGGCAAAGATGGCAAGAACTCTCTGTTGTACTGAGTTGAACATATTTTTGCAGTGTGGTTGCAAGGGAATTAAGCCAAAAACAGAGAGCTGGTTGTCAGAGACAGAATTAAGGTTGCAGGTTTTTTTAATATATTGCAAGAAGTAAGCTTAGAAGAAGAAATAGGACCAAAAGAAAGTAGAAGGGAGAAAAGTCTGGCCAATGTCTTTGGTATATATGAGTTGTTGGATCTTGCAATCCTTCATACCCAAAAGAAAAGAATAATATGTTGTTGTTAATGCCTGGAATAAGACGAAGAATGAACCAAAACTGAGCACCCAAGGTGGATTTTTTTTTTAAATTTTGTTTTAAACAACACATCTTGTATTTACTAAACACTTTTTTATGATGTAGTTGTTTTCCTTGATCATTGTCATGCTGGTATTTCACATTTTAAACAGTTGCAAATTTCAGATACAGATCCTTGAGTGCAACTGACTAACATCAGTGTTTCCAATATTTTCTGGCAGCAGGCAAGGAAGTCTTCATATGTCAAGTGAATCTTCTTGTGCCCAGGCCATGGTCCGTTATGATAAATGAAGAAAAGTATATAATTTCTATGTTGAGGCTGTATATAATTTGTTGAGTCAAGACATTAGGAAAAAGCTACTAATAATTAATACTTGAAATACCTCTGTTTTAAATTCATTAGGAACAGAAACTACTGATTGTTCTCAGCAACTGTGAGTATTTGGCACACCACACCTTCAAGAATTTAGCGGAACATTTTGAGATGCATGCTTTCCAAGGCACAGAGAAAATTGCTCAGGTACAGTAATCATGAAGGGTGTTGTAAAGCACAGGGTGATTCTTGAATAATGTAAAAGATCCAATTTGTAATAGTAATGGTTAACTGTAATTAGAGTTACTTTATTTTGGTTTTCGACACCCCTGTCCAACTCAGTGCTTGTGCCTAAAACAATTAGTGTGTTTCAAGGCATTTACAGTACAAAATCAAACCCTTCAGGCCAACATACCAGCATTTATTCTTCGCAAAAGTCTTCTCACACCATTCATGTAACTCCATCAACATACCTCCATTCTTTCTCACGTGCTTCTCTAGCCTTCCCTTGAATGCAGATGTTCTATTCATCTAATCGCCTACATGTCGTAGCAGCTTCCCTGTTATAACAGCTCCTTGGGATAAGGAGGATCTCCTGAATTCACTTTGGATTTGAGAAGACTGTCTTACTCTGTTTTCACCTAATATCCACCTTATCACAAATGTAGACCTCACTGAGGTCATCACTGAGTTTTCTTTTTTTCAAGAGAAAAGACAGCTATTCTGTTCAAGATTTCCTGGCAGTATGAGTAGCACAGTGTCTCAGTGGTTAGCACTGCTGCCTCACAGTGCCAGGAACCCAGGTTCAATTCCAGCCTCGGGCGACTGCATGGAGTTTGCACATTCTTCCCATGTCTGCGTGGATTTCCTCCGGGTGCTTCGATTTCCTCTGGGTGCTTCAGTTTCCTCCCACAGTCGAAAGATGTGCAGGCTAGGTGGATTGGCCGTGCTAAATTGCCCATAGTGTTCAGGAATGTGTAGATTAGGGTGGTTATAAGGGGATGGGTCTGGGTGGGATGTCTGAGGGCCGGTGTGGGTCATTCTCACATGGCAGTCTATGACTAGCAGGGCACAATCTGTTCATAAAACGTATGAATGTTTTGGATGCAAGGTCAAATGGAACATTTCCAATGTAGTGAATGACGCAACACCAGGTGGGAACGAGTGCTGTCCCAACATTCAAAATGGCTTCTAAAGAGTTTGGACAAACTTAGTGAGTGGGCAAGAATATGGCAGATATAGTATCATGTGGAAAAACCTACCAAAGTGGATTATAGAGTCAGAGAGATATACAACATGGAAACAGACCCTTTGGTCCAACTCGTCCATGCCATCGAGATATCTTCTATAAATCTAATCCCATTTTCCAGCATTTGGCCCATATCCTTCTAAACCCTCCCTATTCATCTACCCATCCAGATGCCTTTTAAATGTTGTAATCATACCGGCCTCCTCCACTTCCTCTGGCAGCTCATTCCATACATGCACCACCCTCTGCGTAAAAAAAGTCGGCCCTTAGTTCCCTTTTATATCTTGCCTCTCTCATCTTAAAGTTATACCTTCTAGTTTTGGACTCCCCCACCCCAGGGAAACGACCTTGCCTATTTACCCTATCCATGCCCTTCATGATTTTATAAACCTCTATAAGATCACCCCTCACCCTCTGACTCTCTAGGGAAAATAGCCTCAGCCTAGTCAGCCTCTCCCTGAACCTCCAAACCCTCTAACCTTGGCAAGATCCTCGTAAATCTTTTCCGAACCCTTTCTAGTTTCACAACATCCTTCCTATAGGAGGGAGACCAGAATTGTGCACAGTACTCCAAAAGTCGCTGGCTGATCCAATGTCCTGTACAGCCACAACATGACCTCCCAATTCCTGTGCTCAATGCTCTGACCAATAAAGGCAAGTGTACCAAATGCTTCCTTCACTATCCTATCTACCTTCGATTCCACTTTCAATGAACTATGATCCTGCCCTCCAAGGTCTCCTTATTCAGCAACACTCCTGAGGACTTTACCATTAAATGTATAATTCCTGTCCTGATTTGCCTTTCCAAAATGCAGCACCTCTCATTTATCTAAATTTATATTCCCCTGCCACTCCTCGTCCCATTGGCCCATCTGATCAACATCTTGTTGTACTCTGTCCACTACCCCTCTAATTTTGGTATCATCTGCAAACTTACTAGCCATACCTCCCATGACAAAAGGCAGTGGACCCAGCACCAATCCTTGTGGTACACTGCTGGTCACAGGCCTCCTGTCTGAAAAGCAACCCTCCACCACCACCCTCTGTCTTCTACCTTTGAGCCCTTTCTGTATCCAAATAGGTAGTTCTCCCTCTATTCCGTGTATTCTAACCTTGCTGACCAGTCGACCAAGACAAACCTTGTTGAACGCCTTACTGGAGTCCGTATAGATCGTATCCACTGCTCCACCCTCATCAATCGTCTTTGTTACTTCTTTAAAAAAACTCAATCAAGTTAGTGAGGCACGATTTTCCACGCACAAAGCCATGTTGACTACCTGTAATGAGTCCCTGCCTTTCCAAATACATGTGAATCCTGTCCCTCAAGATTCTCTCTAATAAGTTGCCCACCACTGATCTCAGGCTCACCAGTTTATAGTTCCCTGGCTTTTCTTTACCACCTTTCTTGAATAGTGGCATAACATTAGCCAACTTTCAGTCTTCCGGAACCTCACCTGTGGCTAACGATGATACAAATATCTCAACAAGGGGCCCAGCAATCACTTCCCTCGCTTCCCACAGAAGTCTAGGTCAGGTCCCAGAGATTTATCCACCTTGATGTGTTTTAAGACATTCAGCACCTCCTGTACCACAATATAGCGGTAAATTTGCTCTTCCTCACTGTAGTCACTTTTCTTATCTTCATTGGAGCTAGGGCAGTAACTTTCAAAGATAGATGATGGATTTTATGTGGAGGAAGGAGATGACAACTAATTTGAAAGGTACAGAACAGTACAAGAGCAGAGCATTGTTTTTTCAGTATTAGCTCACGTTTGATGAGTAACAGCTTAATAGACAATAGATAGTAACATATGATGATATCAGAACTAACCAAATGGATTGCAGTGAGCATCGCAAACTATTATGATAGTGAGCCACCTCTTTTGTATAATATGCTCAATGAATTTTCTTAAAGCACCTCCATATCTCACAAGCAAAGCAATGTAATACTCATACATCATATTACTAAGAATCTATTAGTCACACTATTAATAATCACTCCTTTCTGCATTCAGGTCTTTAATCATCACACTCACACCCATGAATAAAATTAGTGGTTACCTGGGCCTTTGTAAATTGACAGGGCCTGGAGTGCTTAGAAAAGCCCTACAACCTATCCTCATTTCTGTTCCAAAGTATGGTACAAGAACTAAGAACGGGAGTAGGCAATTCACCCCTTGAGGCTGCACTGCCATTCAATAGAATCATGGCTGATCTCAACGTGTCTTCAACACCACTTTACTGCCCACTCCCCATAACCCTTCAACCCATTATGCATTGATGTTGTATTTAGTGCTGCCAGAAGTGGAAAAATGTATTAGTTTTTCTTCCAATTTGTATCCTTCTCACACCTTCACCTGGTCCATCTCTGGCTCTTCTCTTCCCTTCCCTTCCTCCACTGTTTCCATTTCTGAGGATAGGCTGTCCACCACATCCATTACAAGACCATCGACTCTCAGTTACCCTGACTACATATCTTCACAATCTGCTTCCTGAAAGGATTCAGCTCTCCCAGTTTCTCTGTCTCCATCACATGTGTTCTGATGGTACCACCTTCCACTGGGTTGCCTCCGACAAGACCTCCTTTCTTCTCATTCGAGGATTCTACCACATTGTGGTTGACAAGGTCTTCAGCTGTATCTGACCATATCCTGCACTTATCCCTTCCCTACCTTCCCAGAATAATGGTAAGGTTCCCACCCCTCTAGTCTCCATATTCAAAGGATCATTTGCCATTTCTGCACTTCCACCAGGATGTCACCAAACAGACCTTTTCATTCACTGTTAGCATTCTACAGGGACTGTTCCATCCTTGACACCCTGATCCACTCCTCCATCACTCTTAAAATCATGCCCCAGTCCCCCAAGACGCTTTCCCATGCAATTGCAGAAATTGTAACTTTTGGCCCTTCGTCTCTTCCTTCCTCACTGTCCAGGCTCCGAAAAGACCTTCCAGGTGAATTACCATTTTCCTTGCTCTTCTTTCAATCTAGTTGACTGCATTTGCTGCTCACAATGTGATCTTCTTTACACTAGTGAGGCCAAATGCAGGCTAAGTGACTACTGTGCAGAATACCTTCACTCTGTCCTTAGGAATGACCCTGACCTCTCGGGTTACTTGTCATTTCAATAAACCCCTTAGCCTCCTGCAAACACTCTGTCCTGGACCTGATGCAAGGTTCCCAAGCACAAAGAAGTAAACGCTTCATTTTCCAGTTAGGCTCTTTACAGTCTGCCATGAGAATTTGGCTGAGGTGTGTAGTCAGTATACCAGCAAGTAGCTGCATCATTGTTCAGGGAGTTTTTCAAAGAAAGAAAAGGTCATGGTGGCTGATGATGTTTTTCCTCCTTCTTCATAAAAATGAATCATTTTCTGATCAGTGAGAATCCTTCCGGTCTTTGTGACTTTCATTGTAGTTTCCAGAAATTGAATTTCTGTTTACAAGTAAGATGGACATTTCAGTACAGTAGAATAAGCATTCCTTGTATTTGATCGTTTATTGACAGATAGTTCTCTTACTCATGCAATAATGAGTCAACCTACTAAAGATATCATTGTTTGAATGCTGAGACAGTACAGTTGACATTAGTGCCCCTGATGTTACCCTGATTAACATAATTTATTGATTTATGTCTAAATAGTAATTTGAAGTATGGAGGATTCTGCACACTTAATTCCTGGGAATCACTAGGCATGTTTCACGGGTTAATAAACTAAAAGCTTTTGAACTGATGCTTTGTAGATGATGAATTCTAGAATTCTTCTTTGGTTCTGTCCCATTATTAAACCCCCCATGCACCCACACACCTGGATGCTTGTGTGCCTTTTGGTTTTGTGTGACTTGTTGGAAGAGTTGCAGTCAAAACATTGATCTTAAAATTTTCCGCTGTTTTGGTATTGAGACCAAGTTTTACAGCAGAATCAATGAGCATCTTGTGCAATGTTGGGATAGCAACCGAATCTGATCA